TGTACATATATAAAAATATGTGAATTACATAATTTAGAAAACCTTGGAATTCTGCTTTATAGCATTATATTTTATATGTATCACTTAGTACAATCCCTAACACATCAAAAGGCATGTATGAGAAAAACAAATAACCTCAGCAAGAAATTCATATACGTATATACTAGATATGACACAGAGATCTTGAATAGGTTTAGTCCATGCTGAGAAAATAGACAGTAGTTTGTTTTTCCTGATCTTCCTTATAATTTCTATCTCTTGTCAACTACTGAGAAATTTCCAAGCTACTGTTAGTTAAAGGCAAAAACTGCAAGAACTACCGCAAGTGCTCAGAGGGTCATGGATTGCATACTAAGCAGAGTGCTTTCTTTTTTTTGGTACGTGCCCCTAGAGGGAACTGAACCCGGGACTCTCTAGTCCACAGGCGACACTCCAACCGCTGGACCAAACCGGCCAGGGCGTCTCAGAGCACTTTCAAAAGCACTGACAGCACATCTAGTTCCCCCCAACAACCCTTGAGTAGACAGGGTCTGTCACCATCTGCTTGGTTGTGACTCCCAAAGATCTGTCTGCACCCCAGAACTCTGCTGAGCTCCAGGCCTCTGCAGCTCACAATCTATTGGCCATCTGCACATAGATGCCCCAGAGACACCTAGAAGTCAAAATATTGATGATAGGCTTCATATCTTCTCCCAAATCCTCTCCATTCAGTCCCCCCCCCCCCCCCCCCCCGACCCATTGTCTGCTGTTCTCAGTCCTGCTCTATGTCCTGGGAGGCTGAGCTCTACAGACTGAACCTTGGGGTTTACATGCGGCTTTGGCCCGCGGAGGCCCTGGCAGAGACGGAGGAGGGGAAGAGTGAGAGGGCATCTACTCCTCCCTGCTTTGTGAAGCCTGGGCTGCAGCTCTTCTTGACTTCAGGTTCCCCAGGCTCCCAGGCTCCCAGCTTATCTCTGATCATTGTTTCTTTCCCTGTCCCTTCAAGCCCTGTGATAGTAATAGCTTCCCACTGTCGCTAGACCTTGGGTGTCTCAATATCTCTCATTGGTTCCCTTAAATCTGCTCATTCAGCTATGAAAAGTTTCTTTAAAAATCCCAGGGGAATGAGTCACATGTTTCCTTCTGGGACCCTGATCAATATATCACCCATCCTTTTTTTTTTTTTTTAATATACTTTTCTTGATTTTTTTTTTTAGAGAGAGAGAGGAAAGGAAAGAAAGATAGATACATCGATGTGAGAGACACATCCATTGGCTGCCTCCTGCACGCCCCCTACTGGGGATTGAGCCCACAACATGGGCATTTGTCCTGACCCAGAATTGAACCCAGACCTCTCCGTCCACGGGAGGATGCTCAATCTACTGACCCACCCAGCCAGGCTCACCCATCCTTATTTAACTTCTTTTTATATCAGCTTTGTTGTACAAAACATAACCTAGTTGCTTCTGCCTGGAAAGACTCTCCTGCAGCCTTCTCCTACCCCCTACTTGTTCCTCCAGACTCAGCTCAGCTGTCCCCCGCAAGCAGACTCCCCACGTCCCCCCACACCCCCTGCACGCTTGCCTTAGGTGTGTCTATCATATAATTTTCAACACTGTATAATAATTATCCTCACCAATAGTCTGTAAGCTTGTTCAGAGTAGTAACTAGTCTATTTTTGTTCTGTCTTGCTTTAACCTTTGTATCCTTTAGTACTTAGCACAGCCCGGGCTGGTTTGGCTCAGGGTTTAGAGCGTCAGCCCGAGGACTACATGTACCTCGGTTACGGTTTGGTCCCTGGCTGTGGCTGGGTCAATGTGTCTCTCTCACGCCAATGTTTCTCTCTTTCTCTCTCCCTCCCACTCTTTCTGAAAATAAATGAAAAAATATCCTCAGGTGAGGATTAAAAAAAACACACAACACAGTCCGTGGAACGTGATGGGCACTCAAATATTTGCCAAGTGAAGTTTCATGACTAGAGCAGCCATAGGATACTGGTACAAGAGAGGGAGACGTAGCATCCAGACTTTTCTGTGGCCAGCAGAATCCGTTCACCAACCTTCCTTTCTGACACCACCTTCTCAGAAAGCCTTTCTGACCTTAACCTCTTCCTTGTCTTGGTGTGGTGCCCTTAGGAGGTGTGTGTTTTTGAAGAGAATGGCACAGAAGCCAGAAAGATTGGAGCCTATATCCTTTCTCACTGTACAACTCGGGTTCAATTACTTAGCCTTTGTGATCATTGACTTCCTCCGTTGTAAAATGTCAATAGTAGGTAGTACGGCTGGGTTACTGGGAGCTTACATGATATATTGCCTGGCACGCAGTAGATGCTCAGTGTTAGTCTCCACCCCTCCTGTGTTCCCTCGGCACTCCATATACATCCCTTGGGCTTCCTTGTCTGCCCCCTTCTTTGGACTTAAAGTCAAGGATTGTATTTTTCATTTCTGTCCCCAAAGGACCCATGGGGATTGCTCAACAATTGTTCATTGATTCAATAAAATGTCCCATTTTACTGGTTATCAGCTTGAGGCGTAGAGAGCTTAAGCAACCTGCTCAGATCATGCAGCTAGGTAACAGCTAAACCAAAAACCACAACACACATCTAGTGCTTAAACTGATACTTTTTTGGTCCAGCTACGTAAACCATGAGACCAAGGTGTACCTGTATCTGTGGAATAGGTCTGGGCCCACCTACCCAGGCGTGTCCTCACACTGACCGATGCCAGGCCCCATCTAACTGCCCCCGATAGAAGAGGAGGGTTCAGCGTTCATCTCCATCGCTTCCCACCACATACTTACTTCACCGTCTTGTTCTATCATCTTCCTGAAATAACTATACTACAATTTTGTTAAGTAGTCAGGGCTGATATGATGATAGCTATGTGAACTCTTTCCAACTTAGTCATGTAGTGTTCCATAATTTCTCACTGCTTTGTACAAAATTTTATTCTTGTTGGTGTGAACCTGGATGTATGTTTGCTTGATTTTCTAAGGCCTTCTCACTATTTCAACCCCCAATTCTCTGTTTTCTCAATCTCCTCTCAAAATATTTGAATATACCATGTTCCAGCAATTCCATTTTCTGGGATACATTTCTCCCAGACCTTCTGATTTCTCCAATCTGGAATGCTCGGAGAGGTGAGCACTGATGCCTGGGGGTCCCTTCACCATCATCCCGGGAATTCCCTTTCCTCTCTCCTGTGTGGAATCGTTTGCTCTGTGTTTTCTTCTTCCTTGGTGTCCTCCCTTGTGTTGGTGGAGCATGTTCCCTGGCAGCTTTCTGAGGAAGAGTTCCTGGAGGAGAATTTCCAAGGACTCGCACATCTGCAGTTGACCTCCATCCACTGTTACATACTCATTTCCTCTAGAATGTATCGGCATTCCTCCATTGTCTTCTAGCTTCCAGTGTTACATCTGAGAAGCACAAAGCCATTCGGATTCTTGAATGGCGGATGTAACTTTTTCTTTAGAAGCTTTTTCAGATCTTCTCTTTAACCCTAGTATTCTGAAATTTCACAAGTTTGCCTTAATGGAGCTCTTTTCTCATCTAATGTGCTAGAACCTCGGAGGGCCCTTTTAATTTAGAAACTCTTCTATCTCCATTGTAGGAAAAGTTCTCGATCATTTTGTTGGTGATTTCCTTTGGACCTTCCCCGCATTGTCTCTGTTCTCTCCTGCTAGAATTTATCACTTGGATATCAGCCCTTGGGGACTTACCCTCTCATTTTTATCTTCCTCTTTAATTCTTCATGTCTTTGCTCTTCTTTCTGGGAGATTTCTTCAGTGTTTTCTTGCATTCTTATTGCATTTAAAAAATTCTTTATAATCATATTTCTAATTTTCAAGAGTTTCTATGCATTGTCTATTCTCTCAGGATAAGGATGATAATTTTTTAGTTTTTCTTCTCCCTGCATAACCTACATTTTCTCTAATTTTTAAAAAGTTTATTTTTATCTCCATATTTCACATTAGAGACTTTCCTTCTCAGGTGTCTTCTGACTTTTGGCTGTCAGATCACGTTTAAGAGTGAATTAAGCACTGAGAAACAGATCGAAACCTCCAAGGTCTTGGTGAGTGGGACCTGCTGACCTTCAGTGTAAGCAGTGCTACTGCATCTGATGGGCAGATGCCAGGGATGCTGCTCAGCATCACACTGCGCACAGGACGGTCCCTCACAACAAAAAGTTATCCTGCCCAAAATTTTACTAGTTTTGGTTGAGAAATCCTGGTGTAGAGTATCTTATTGCGTCATTTAGTTAGAAAATCCTAGATGTTGGTATTTTTTATCTTTCTCTTGAGCTATTCAGATTCTGCAGATAAGAATCTACCAGTCTCCTGCCTGGAGGGTACAGCCCTGGCTTCTGACTTCTCGGAGCCCAGAGCCCCTGGGAGAAAGTGGTCTGGTGGTTCCAATGTCACTGTGCAGAGATCACTTAATCATGCTATTGACAAGCTTGTCTCCATACCGTCAGCTATGGCTGACATCGCCATAGTCCTGAGACCCTCTCCAGAGTGTAACCATCCAGTGTTCTGCCAGGGTGAAGGAAAGGGAGTTACTTGGCTGTATGGTGTGAGAAAGGAGATATAAATTTAAAAAAAAATTTTTTTTTCTTTATTGATTTTTAGAGAGGAAGGAAGAGAGAGAGAGAGACAGAAACATCAGTGAGGGAGAACTTCATTTGGCTGCCTCCTGCATGCCCCCCCACTGGGGATCTGGCCCACAACCTGAGCATGTGCCCTGACCGGGAATTGAACTGATGACCTTCTTGGTGCATGGGTCTACGCTCAACCACTGAGCTACACTGGCCGGGCTTTATTTATTTTTAAATAGACTTTTAAACAATTCTCCTGATTTTAGCTATATTCTTATCTCCTCTTCACTCCCAGTTCCTAAGGTGGGAAGAGGAGGCAGGTTTCTGCTAAATAAAATAGTTGCTGCTGGGCTTTTCCTATAGCTGACTGCTTGGTTATTATCACTTGTGTGTTTGCTTTTCAGTTTTCTGTTCTCTTTGCCTTTATAGGTTGTCTTCTTAAAAATCCACTTTCGGCCCTGGCCAGTTTGGCTCAGCGATTGGAGCATCGGCCTGCGGACCAGAGAGTCCTGGGTTTGGTTCCCACTAGAGGCATGTACCAAAAATAAAAAAATCCATTTTTAATGTTATTAGTGATATTTTTTAAGGAAATGAGAGTAAATGCATGTGCTCCTCCGTCTGTGAGGAGAGATCCCACAATTTTATTTTTCATGTAGAAGCATTCATTGGTGTTTATCAACAAGGAAATCCTGAAAATGATGTATCTCTACTGAATACACGGTAAAATGTCTGCATTCTGTTGAATTTCTCAATGCCAGTTTGGAGGTGCATGTTACCAATGGGTTGTGATGGCAGGAGTGGTGTGTGTGTGTGTGTGTGTGTGTGTGTGTGTGTGTTTCCTCTCTTAAAGAAATCTACTGACTACAGATGTGAGGAGGAGAAGCTAATTTGGAGACCATATAATCTGCAGGACACTGTGTGATAGAAACCAGGGGAAATTTTTTTCAAACCTAAACCGAAGAGAAAACAAGAATCCAAACATAATCTGCTAAAAATAAAATAGCAGTATGGACTAATTGACTAACTGGGTTCTGTGTGAACAGAATTTACATTTCTCCAGCTGAACAGCTCCCCAAGCAGCTAGAAAAGGGATGTTATCTCAATGTCACTGGCTGTGATCTCTCCCTAGAAATCTAATTTTTACTGCTGTCTTTTGAAACCTAGTGACTCTGGAGGGGACCTGGATTGTTCTCTGGGTTTTCATTCTATGCACAGATGCTGTTCTCAACACCAATCGGAGCATCACTTGCATTTTAAAAATTCTGCTTTGAAAGCAGAGAAGGGACGTAGCCACACTTCCCAGGTGCAGAGGTGCTGGCTATGATTCTTTCATACTTCAGCTTCTAGTTTCGCATGAAGGTGAACACTACATTCCATCACTGGGAAGGAGACTTTCTAATGCCAGGCAGAAGGAAGGATTAAAGGCATACTTGCATTGAAGTTGGACAAATGAATGCAGCCCTGACTAGCCGAAACCTGAGTCTAGAATGAGGGGACTCCTCTGTTTTAATATCTAAGGGGACTACAGGTACATTGTCATGGAAACAGTATCACCTCCCGTGGTTCTCTTGAAGAAAATCTTGCAGGAGCATAATCAGAATACATGAAGATTTGGCATTTATTTGATGAGCTAGTGATAAAAGTATTTTATGTCTTTTGTTATGTATTTTTTAATTTTTGAGAAATTACACAAATAATACTCAGCTTAGAAAAACTAGAATACACAAATAGCTGAAGAAAACTACCAGTAGTTTTTCCTTTCAAACGTAAGCACCGCCTTGTAGTTATTTTGATACACCTATACACCCAACTATATTAAAGAGGGAGTGCGAAGAAATATTTTTTGAGACAAAGAATGAAAAAGATTCCTGCTCATAGCCCTTTGCTGGAAGAACTTCAGAGAACTATCAACCAAGAAAGAAATTAAACCCAGAGTGGGATATTGGGATGTAAGGAAAACAGTATTATAATAGTAGTCTTGTTTATAAAGGTGAGTGTCTACTGTAAATACTTAATGTGGGTGAGTGGGGATTAAACAAGGCAAACATAACAGGAAGGGAATAAAAATTAACTTTAGATTGTGTTGAGTTAAATGTATACTAAAAGCTTAAAAGAAAACACAAGAAGAATAAAAATGGAGTGTAAAACTTCCAGGCTATAAGAGGAAAACTATTCTCCTAGAGAAAAATATAGTAGAGAAGACAGCAGTCCACTAGAAGTCACTGTCTCAGTCTGCTGGAGCTTCTATGCAAAATACCACAGGCTGGATGGCTTAAACAACAAAAAATTTTTTTCACAATTCTTACAGGTCCAAAATCAAGGTGCCAGTCATTTCAGTTCCTAGGGAAGGCTCCCTTCTTGCATTGCAGTCAGCCACCTTTTGGTTGTACCCTCACGTGGAGGAGAGACAGAAAGCAAGCTCTCTGGTTTCTCTTCTTATAAGGGCACTAATCCCATCACCAGGCCCCATCCTCATGACCTCGATGAACCAAAGGTCTCATCTCCAGATACATTGAAGATTAGAGCTTCCACATATATGAATTCTGGAGGGACACAGCACAAACATTCAGCCCATAATTGTCAGTGAAGGAAGAAAAGGAAACAAAACAAACAAAAGGAAAAGCATAGTAAATAAAAGTCACAAAATTTAGCAACAGAAGTAGCAAAATGTAATTTATTCATGTGACAGCAGCCATCTTGTTCTAGTCGAAAATGAATGAAACTGATCTACATATATATCAATAAGAACAGATCTCAAAAACTAAATGTTAAATGAAAAGCAGGAGGACACGTGGAATATGATTTCATTTGTATAAATGTTAAACAGAGGAAACAATAGCCTGTGTTTTCTACATGGATATTTAGTAGCTATACGGAGATTCAGTAACTGTATGAAAAACAGACCCCTGGTTTAGAGCAGGCACCGATTTCAGGAGAGTGGAAGAAAACCAGGGAAGGGAGTTGAGTACAAAGAAATGTTCATTGTATCTGACATTTTTTAACACCTGGTGTCAAGTGTTGAAGATGACACAGTGAGTGGAAACAGACTGGGTTCCTGTCTTCACGGAACTGTCTGAAGGGAAGTGAGACATTAATCAAATAATCGTTCCCCAAAACATAAACTATAACTGTAGTGAGTTCAGGAAGGGTGGCGGCGTGCGGGGCTGGGGAGCGAGGCGGCGCTGTAAGTGCAGAGACCGCAGGCCGGCGCCAGGCAGGGGACGGCACAGAGGGCAGGCGCCCGGGAATGGGAAGGGGTGGGGCTGTGCAGGGAGGCAGGCCAGGCCGCTTAGGGCTTGTGGGCACACGAAGGGCTTGGTTTTTATCTTTAAAGCAGCAGAAAGCCAGTGAGAGGCTCCCGGCATCCTGAGGGGCTGTAAGAGCCGGCGCTCCGTGAGCCGCTCTCGTGGGTAACTCGCCCGCCCGCCCCCAGCTCAGTTTCTTCACCTGCAGAGCAAAGGGGCTGGACAGGGGTGCTCAAAGGAGGATGGGGAAGGGGAACGGCGAGGGGAACATCTGAACTGAACCAGATGACGGCCACTGTCTGCCAGAGGAGACCCAGAGCCAGTGCGCACGCCTGGAACCCCCCAAACGTGTCTTCCCGGTGCCATCCTGAGGCCTCCGGAGGCTCCCGAGACCTGAAACATTCACAACTTGAACCACCAGGAAGGATGACCGGTTTTCACTGACATCTCCCCTGCGTTTGCAAAGGTGGAGCAAGTAAATAAAAAGAAATTAGTGAAGGAAATGAATTGGGTGGTACTATCTACGAGCGATAATTTGGAAACTAGATGAGGATACAACGGGGTTTATATTATGATTGTCACCACTTTTTTTTATCCTCACCCGAGGACATTTTTTTCCATTTTTTGTTCAGATAGAGTGGGAGGGAGGGATGGAGAGAGGGAGAGAGAGAGAGAGAGAAATATCGACGTGAAACGGACACATTGAGAGGCTGCCACTCTCTCGACCAACCAGGGCCGGGGACAAACTGCAACCATTGTACGTTCCCTTAGGGGGAACCGAACCCAGGTCTCTCTGGACTGCAGGCCGACGCTCTAACCGCTGAGCCAAACCGGCCAGGGCTGACTGTCATTACTTTTATGTCTATTTGATATTTTTCACAATAATAAGTTTTTCTAAAGTATATCTGAAAAATGTTGTAAACCGGCGCTGTTCAAACTTTTTCTCATCATCACTTTATGATGCAACCTGTTTCATACACATACAGGCTAAAACAGACTTCCAGAACACATTATTTACCCTCACTACATACTCTAATATACAATATTCTACTCTCTGCACTGCTTGATTGATTCTTGTTTTTAAATGCCGATTGGAATCTACTCAACTGATTTCAAGACTCATTTAAATGAGTCATGACCAACAGTTTGAAAAACATAGTTATCAACGGTGTCAAATTATTCTGGGGCAATTGAAGATTTGCCTGTTGGCCTGGGTCAAGAGAAGCGCAGTGACTATTTGGGGAGGAAATGGAAGAGAAAAGTCATGGAAATCTTCCCAGCCTTCTTGGAAAAGGCTGACGCCCACCTGGCAAGGGTGTCATCGGGACAGGGCAAAATGAGAGGGCTTCCCCAGTTTCCAGCTCTGGGTATGTGTCCCAGTCGCCCAGCTTTTCTTACACAGGTTCATTTGCTTCCAGAGACCACTGCCAGCCGGGCCGTGGCCTGTGCTGCTTCTGAGCAGCTTCTTCCCCACCTGCCTCCTCTGAGGTCCCGGCCAGTCCTCAGGCATTTCTCTAACTCGCCTGGGTTATAAATGTATGTCACATTGTCTTCCCCTTTCCCATCTCCCTAAACGGTGACTGTCCTTCCAAACCCAGTGTCATCAACGAGAGCAACATCTCCCAGAGAGGAGGGTGAGGTCATGGTCAAGATTCGCCCAGCCCTGAAATCCCATTAAAGCACCCTGGCCAGTTTGGCTCAGTGGTTAGAATGTCAGCCTGAGGACCAATGAGTCGCAGGTTCGATTCCGGTCAAGAGTACATACCTGGGTTGCGGTTCCTCCCCGGCCCTGGTTGGGGTCGTGCAGGAGGCAACCAGTCGATGGGTCTCTGTCACATCGATATTTCCCTCTCTCCCTCCCACTCTATCTGAAGATAGATGGAAAAATATCCTTGGGTGAGGATTAAACAACAAACAAACAAACCTGTTCAGGCAAAGGTTGGCCTGGCAAGCACGGGACAGGCAGGGAACTTGACATCTGAAAAAGAGGGGGTCTGGGGTGCCTTTGCCTTCAGTATTTAAGAATGAAATGTCGACTGTTCAGTCCTTCACAAAGCAATCAGATACCCACTGGGAAGAAAGGTCAGAATATCAGGACCGAGTCAATAATTCAAAGGACATCATGAAAAGACAGCAGAGACAGCACCTTGATCTGCTATACAATAACCTCAGGGATGCGATTGTGCGATGCTTTCAAAGGGGCCCACAAGCATATGTGAACTTTCACTGATTGTAAGCAAGCGTTTG